CGATTTTTCAACTTCACATTTTTGATTTTTCGGATTCTCAATTTTTCAATTTTTTATATTCTCAATTTTTCGAAATTTCCGTTTTGGGCTTTTTCAGTTTATTAGTCAATTTTTCGATTTCACAATTTCTCAATTTTTCAATTTCACGATTTTCAATTTTACGATTTTTAAATATTTGGTTTTTGTAATTCTTCAAATTTGACTTTCATGAACTTAGTTTATCGATTCTTCATTTCTTCTCTCCAATTTTTCATTTTTTTTTTTGGTTTTTGATTTTTCAGTTTTCAATTTTTTAATTTCTCAGTTTTTAGATATTTCATTCTTGAGAGTTTTCAGTTTTTCCATTCTTCAGTTTTTCTTTAATTTTTCAATTTTACGAAATTTCAGTTTTGGGATTTTTCAGATTATTTATTATTATCCAATTTTTCGATTTTACAATTTTTCAGTTGTACGTTTTTTCAGTTTTTCCATTTTTCAATAAATCGATATTTTGATTTTCCCAGTTTTGACTGTTTCGATTTTATTATTCTCCAATTTTTCGATTTTTCAGGTTTTTGAGTTTTCAATTTTTCTGTTTTTTAAGATTTCGATTTTTCGATTTCACTTTTTTGATTTTTCGAATTCTCAATTTTTTAGATTCTCAATTTTTCGACATTTCGGTTTTGGGATTTCTCAGTTTATTTATTAGTCAATTTTTCGATTTTTCAATTTCTCAATTTTTCAATTTCACGATTTTCAATTTTTCTCCTCTTTAATTTTACCATTTTTTAAACATTTGATCTTTTCAATTTTTCAATTTTGACTTTTATAAACTTTCAATTTTTCGATTTTTCAGTTTTTCAATTTTTTATGGTTTTGGTTTTTTGACTTTTTGATTACTTGTTTATTTAATTTTTGTGTTTAGATATTTTAGTTTTGAAATTTTTCAATTTTTCCGTTCTTCAGTGTTTCTTTCATTTTTCGATTTTACAATTTCTCAATTTGTCAATTTCCCGAATTATCAATTTTCCGATGTTTGTTTTGTTTTTTAAATTTTACTCGTCAATTTTACGATTTTTATCATATACTACATTATATTTCCGTGTCTCCGTATTTCCATTTTTCCGCTTTTAGATTTTTGGATTTTCCAATTTTTCAACTACGTATTAACTTTTTCGTTTTCGATTTTGGCCTATTTCGGTTTCTCAATTTTTCGATTTTTCGATTTTATGACTTCGATTTCTCGATTTCTCAATTTTCCGAAGTTTCAGTTTTATGTTTTTTAAGGTTTTCTCTTCAATTTTACGATTTTTAAAATGGCGATTTTTCAGTTTTTCAATTTTTGACGTTTCTAAATTCTCAATTTTTCGATTGTTCAATTAATCAATGTTTTTATTTTCTCATTCTCGACTTTCGACTATTTAGATTTTCCTGTTCTTCAATTCTTCAATTTTTCGATTTTTTAGGTTTTTGATTTTTCAATTTTTGACTTTTCTAAATTCTCAATTTTTCGATTTTTCAATTAATTGACTTTCGACTGTTTAGATTTTCCTGTTCTTCAATTTTTCGATTTTTCAGGTTTTCGAATTTTCAATTTTTCGATTTTTTTAGGGTTTCGATTTTTCGACTTCACTTTTTTGATTTTCGAATTCTTAATTTTTCAATTTTTTAGATTTTTAATTTTTCGAAATTTCCGTTTTGGGCTTTTTCAGTTTATTTATTAGTCAATTTTTCGATTTCGCAATTTCTCAATTTTTCAATTTCACGATTTTCAATTTTTTCCTCTTCAATTTTACGATTTTGAAATATTTCGTTTTGGTAATTTTTCAAATTTGACTTTTGTAAACTGTTTCGATTTTTCATTTCTTAGATTCCCCAATTTTTCAATTTTTTAGGTTTTTGATTTTTCAGTTTTTCAATTTTTCAATTTTTGGATGTTTCAATTTTACGATTTTTAAATATTTGGGTTTTGCAATTTTTCAAATTTGACTTTTATAAACTCTCATTTTTTATTTCCCAATTCTTCAATTTTTCAATTGTTTAGGTTTTTGATTTCTGAATTTTTCAATTTTTTATGGTTTTAATTTTTTGACTTTTTGATTACTCAATTTTTTAATTTTTGTTTTTAGATATTTCAGTTTTGAAATTTTTCGATTTTTCCATTCTTCAGTTTTTCTTTCATTTTTCGATTTTACAATTTCTCAATATTTCAATTACCCTAATTATCAATTTTCCGATGTTTCAGTTTTGTTTTTTAATTTTACTCGTCAATTTTACGATTTTTAAAATGGCGATTTTTCAGTTTTTCAATTTTTGACGTTTCTAAATTCTCAATTTTTCGATTTTTCAATTAATCAATGTTTTGATTTTCCCATTTTTCGACTTTCGACTGTTTAGATTTTCCTATTCTTCAATTCTTCAATTTTTCGATTTTTCAATTAATCAGTGTTTTGATTTTCCCATTTATTGACTTTCGACTGATTAGATTTTTCTGTTCTTCAATTTTTCGATTTTTCAGTTTTTCGAATTTTCAATTTTTCGACTTCACTTTTTTGGTTTTTCAATTTCTCAATTTTTAAATTTTTTCGATTTTCAGTTTTTTCATTCTTCAATTTTTCTATTTTTCAGGTTTTTGATTTTACAATTTTTCAATTTTTTAAGGTTTCGATTTTTCGATTTCTCAATTTTTCAATTTCTCAGTTTTTGGATGCTTTAGTTTTGGGATTTTTCAGTTTTCCCATTCTTCAGTTTTTGTTTCATGTTTCAATTTTTCGAAATTGCAGTTTTGGCATTTCTGATTATTTATTATTCAATTTTTCCATTTTTTAATTTCACGATTTTCAAATTTTCTCTTCTTCACTTCACTTTTTTGACTTTGATTTCTCAGTTTTGCAATTTTTTAATTTCTCAGTTTTGGGATTTTTCAGTTTTTCCATTCTTCAGTTTTTCTTTCATTTTTCAATTTTTCGAAATTTCAGTTTTGGGATTTTTCAGATTATTTTTCAGTTTTTCGATTTTAAAATTTCTCAATTTTTCAATTTTTCGATTTCTCAACTTTCCGACGTTTTTTGACTTCTGAATTTTTGTTTCCTTTTTCAATTTTTCAGGTTTTTGATTTTACAATTTTTCAATTTTTTAAGGTTTCGATTTCCCAATTTTTCAATTTCTCAGTTTTTGGATGTTTCAGTTTTGGGATTTTTCAGTTTTCCCATTCTTCAGTTTTTCGAATTTTCAATTTTTTGACTTCACTTTTTTGGTTTTTCAATTTCTCAATTTTTAAATTTTTTCGATTTTCAGTTTTTTCATTCTTCAATTTCTATATTTTTCAGGTTTTTGATTTTACAATTTTTCAATTTTTTAAGGTTTCGATTTTTCGATTTCTCAATTTTTCAATTTCTCAGTTTTTGGATGTTTTAGTTTTGGGATTTTTCAGTTTTCCCATTCTTCAGTTTTTGTTTCATGTTTCAATTTTTCGAAATTGCAGTTTTGGCATTTCTGATTATTTATTATTCAATTTTTCCATTTTTTAATTTCACGATTTTCAATTTTTCTCTTCTTCACTTCACTTTTTTGACTTTGATTTCTCGGTTTTGCAGTTTTTAATTTCTCAGTTTTTAGATATTGAGATTTTTCAGTTTTTCCATTCTTCAGTTTTTCTTTCATTTTTCAATTTTTCGAAATTTCAGTTTTGGGATTTTTCAGATTATTTTTCAGTTTTTCGATTTTAAAATTTCTCAATTTTTCAATTTTTCGATTTCTCAACTTTCCGACGTTTTTTGACTTCTGAATTTTTGTTTACTTTTTCAATTTTTCAGGTTTTTGATTTTACAATTTTTCAATTTTTTAAGGTTTCGATTTCTCAATTTTTCAATTTCTCAGTTTTTGGATGTTTCAGTTTTGGGATTTTTCAGTTTTCCCATTCTTCAGTTTTTGTTTCATGTTTCAATTTTTCGAAATTTTGGTTTTGGCATTTCTCAAATTATTTATTATTCAATTTTTCCATTTTTTAATTTCACGATTTTCAATTTTTCTCTTCTTCACTTCACTTTTTTGAGTTTGATTTCTCAGTTTTGCAATTTTTTAATTTCTCAGTTTTGGGATTTTTCAGTTTTTCCATTCTTCAGTTTTTCTTTCATTTTTCAATTTTTCTAGATTTCAGTTTTGGGATTTTTCAGATTATTTTTCAGTTTTTCGATTTTAAAATTTCTCAATTTTTCAATTTTTCGATTTCTCAATTTTCCGACGTTTTTTGACTTCTGAATTTTTTTTTACTTTTTTTATTTTTAAATTTTAGATTTTTCAGTTTTTTGATATTTCAATTTTTTCAAGTTTCCGAATTATTATTAGTTTGATTAATCTTTCGATTTTTCGACTTCTTAATTTTCCGATTTTGGCCTATTTCGGTTTCTCAATTTTTCGACTTTTCGACTTCTCGATTTCTCGATCTTTTGATTTTTCAATTTTTTTACTTTTCGGTTTTTCGGTTTTTCGATTTTCCAATTTTTCGATGTTTCGATTTTCAATTTTCCAATTTTTCCATTAATCAATATTTTAAATTTAGGAGTTTTGAATTTTTCATTTTTTCGATTTTTTGGTGTTTCTATTTTTTATGTTTGGATTTCTTGACATCTTGGTTTTCGATTTTTGGATTTCCAGATTTTAAAAATTTTCAATTATTTTAATTTTTCCATTTTGTGTCAGTGTTATGTCATATAATATATCGAAAATAAGAGAAAATCAACCAAATCGCTTCTGAACTCTTAGAGTCTACATTGGCCTGAGCGCGTTCTGGTTGGTAGATCAAACAAGTTCTCTTTTCTTTTAACTTATAATTTAAATATTCCATTGTTATAACAAGACGTCAAATTATTTCAGTTTCACCAACCTTGTTCTCATTCATCAGCGCCATCTGTTCGTCTGAGGTCTGACCCACTCGATCCGCGCCATCTCTCCCTCTTCTCGCACACTCCCCGCTGCCGGTAACGTTGACAGTCCGCGTCGGTAACAGCGACACCTTTACCGGCGCTGGTGTGCGCAGGTTGGTTCGTAAACAATAATAAAGTAGCCATTTTAGCCAAGCCGACCACCATTTTCCTGCTACAGTCTAGATTTCGCACGACCAGGAAGACCCAGGAAGGATGGAGAACCGTGCCAATATCCTGCGTGCCATGAATATTTGCCGGTTCTGCTTGAGCGAAGAAGGCCCTTTGACAAACATTTACGAACGTCAGCCCAAGGACAACAAGCAAACTGTTCCTTTGCCGCTGCAACTAATGGCGTGCGTTGCGATCGAGGTTCGTAAATGAGCTAATTTTATGTGGGATTCGATAAAGTTCGCTTTATTTTCACTAAATCTGTAAAGTTTTTCGTGGGTGCGGGATGGGAGAGGTGCGATGGGTGAGGCGTCTTGGGGGCGGAGGGGGACGGTGTGTGGGTTTTGATTTGGAAATGGAAATTGGCTGGGGTTATTTGGGTTGAACCTTCCTTGCCTCTGACGGACAGTGGGTGAACGAGTTGAGTTTTTGATGGCATCGATTTTTTTGGTGGGGATAAGTAAACCGGTTTTGATGTCGACACTGTTGTGTTGGCAGAACTTCGGGGAAATTAGATGATTTTAGGGTAAATTGGGATTTTGTAGACTGCTTAATTGCCGTTCAGGGAATTACATAATTATTATGATTTAATTTTTTTTTAAATTATCGTCATTGATGAAAATATGTGGGAATTCAGATTCAGATTACTAAAGTCTACATTTGTGGCTTATATTTTATATTTTTTATTGCCATTTTTCGCAATTTCATTATGCCTTTTTTTTTTCTTTTAATTTTTTTTGTCGAAGATTTTTTTTTGCTAGTTTTCCGTTCGCCTTTTATTGTCCTTTTTCGCATTTTTTGTAGTTTTTTTTTATCCGTTTTATTTGGCACTCTTCTTTTGAATTCGTTTCTTTCCTCTATTTTGGGTCATTTATTTTTCTTGTCATCGTTTTTTTTGACACATTTTTGGTCGCTTTTTCACCCTTTTTTATCGCATTTTTTGCTACTTTTCACCCTTTTTTTGCGTTTTTGTCCATTTCCCCCTTTTTACTCGTTTTTCGCCGTTTTCGGTTGGCTTTTTCGTCTTTATGTCTGCAACTTTTTGTCTTTTAGCAGTTTTTTTTAACGTTGTTTTTTGTTTTTTTTTTCGTTTTTTATTGTCTGTCACCCTTATTGGATCGTTTAATTTTGTGCCCTTTTTGGACCTTTTTATAATTTTTTCTGTCTTTTTTTTCACCGCTTTATTCCTCTTTTTATAAGAAGAAAAGTCGTTTTTTTTGGCTTTTTTCGTGCATTTTTTCTGTCTTTTTTTTTCGTTTTTTTAATATTTTTGTGAGCTTTTCGCGTTTTTGTCCCTTTTTTGTTGTCATGTATTGTTTTTTTTTTGTTTTTATAACCTCTTTTTTGTCGTTTTTTTTTGTCCTCGCCGTTTAGTGTTGTTTTTTCGTCTTCGTTTTCTTTGTTCTCTTTTTTGTTTATTAGTTTTTTTTAGTTTTTGTCTTTTTTTTCGTCTTTTTTTGACATTATTTGTCCTTTTTTGGTTTTTCGCGTCTTTGTTGGTTTTTCGTTTCGTTTTTTGTCCTCCTTCTTTTGTTTCCTTATCGTCTTTTTTTCTTCGTTTTTTTTCTGTCGTCCTTTTCGCTGTTTTAATTCCCCCTTTTTGAGTTTTTTGTACTTTTAGGGTTGTTTTTGTTTCCCTTTTTTCCGTTTTCTTTTTTGTAGCTTTTTTAACGCTTTTTGTCACAATTTTTTGACACTTTTTGTGTTTTTTTTTGTCGTCGCTTTTTTTTTCGCAGTTTTTTTATTTCTTTTTGGACCTTTTTTTATATGTAGTCTTTTGTCACTTGCTTTTGCCTTGTTTTTGTGTTTTTTAATTATTGTTTTTGTCTTATCGTTTTATTTTCGCCGATTTTCTTTTTTTTTTTGTCGTTTTTTTCTTTTTAGCCGTTTTTTGTCTCTTTGGGGTCCATTTTTGTCACCCTTATTTTATCGTTTATTTTTGTGACCCTTTTGTGCTCTTTGGACCTTATTTTTTGCGTTTTTTCTTTTTTTTGCAGTTTTTAGTCTTTTTTGTCATCTTTTTTGGACATTTTGTCATTTTCTTTTTGTCATTTTTTCAACTTTTTTATGGTTATTATTTCGTCTTTTGTGAAGTTTTCTTTTCCGTCGTCCTTTTTTTTTGTCGTAATTTTTTTCGCATTTTTGTAACCTATTTTTTATCGTTTTTTTTTTTGGTTCCTCGTCTCCTTTGTTGTTCTTTTTCGCCGTTTTTATCCCCTTTTTAACCGTTTTTAAACGCCATTTTTTAGTGTTTTTTCGTTTTTTATTATCACAATTTTTAATCGTTTCATTTTGTGGCCTTTTTGGATCTTGTTTTGTCGCTTTCTTTGCCGCTTTTTTTGACGTTTTTAACTTTTTTCGTTTTTTTTAATCGTTTTTATCCCTCTGTTATTCCGTGAAAAGAGCGATAGACGTTTTTCTTTTTTTCCCGTTCTTTCTATCTTTTTGTGGCCTTTTTGTTATTGCGTTTTTTGCCATATTTATCTTTTTTCTGTCTTTCTTTTTTTCACCGTTTTATCCTTCTGTTTATAAGAAAAGTCGGTTTTTGGCTTTTTCCTGATTTTTTTCTGTCTTTTTTGTGGCCTCTTTGTCTTTTTTTTTTGTCTTTTTGTCCTTTTTTTTGTTTTTTTTTGTCATTAATTTTTCTTCCATTTTTTGTTCCTTTTTTTGCACTTCGCCGTTTTGTTGCTATTTTTCGTTTTTTTTTGTGGCTCGTTTTATCGCTTCATTTGGACTTTCTTTTTGGTCCTTTGTGTTTTGTTCGTAATTTTTTCAATTTTTGTCCTTTTTTGGCCTTTTTGTCGTCTTTTTTCATTGCTTTTTTGTCCCTTTTTGAAGTTATTCATTTTTGTTTGTTTTTTTGGCACTTATCTTCACCGTTTTGAGTTGTTTTTTTCCGTCTTCCATTTATTTATTCGCTTTTTTGTTTATTGTTTTTTTGTAGTTTTTATGATTTTTTTTCGTTTTTAGTTGGTTTTTTTTAGTTTTTTCGCCTTTTTAACATTTCTGTTTTTTGGACCTTATTTTGTTGTATTTTCGTCCACCTTGTAGGTTTTTTTCGCCGTTTGGTTTTGCTTTCTTTTTCGTTGTTTTTTTTTTGGCGCTTTTTTTGCCCCTTTTTTCAATTTTTGGCGCTTTTTTTTGTCCTCTCTTTTGTCGGTTTTTGCTTGCCCTTTTTTTGTGAGTTTTTGGTATTCTTTTCATTGTCTTTTTTGTGCCCTTTTCGTCCTTTTTTGACTCCCCTTTTTTGTTGCAATTCTTTTGTGGTTTTTTTGATGGGTGGTTTTTCGCCTTATGTTTTTTTTGTCATTTTCTTCGGCTTTTTTTGTTCTCTTTGTTGCGTCTGTTGTGTCCTTTTGCCATTTTTTATTCCTCTTTTTTTTTATTGTTTTTTGTTATTGTTTTGTCGCTTTTTGTGACAATTTACCCCTCTATTTATGACAAAAAAGAAATAGCCGGATTTTTTTTTTGTTTTTTTTGCAGGTTTTTTGTGGCTCGTTTTATCGCTTTCATTTTTTGCTCTTTTGTGGCGCTTTTTATGTTTGGTTCGTAATTTTTTTCAATGTTTGGTCTTTAAATGTAAATGTATTTATTTGAACCATTATATATACATTTTGTACATAATCTGGCGAGTCAATTTTACATAGTCAAATATAATAACATATAAATGAAAAATTACAACACTAAAACATAGGCGTACATAAAGAAAACAATGAAATAACAACAATGTAATAACAACACTATATATGTAATGAGGAAGAAAATATCTACAATATTAGTGGAACATTTATTTCGTGTCTTGGTTTCTTGGTCTTTTTTTGTTGCCTTTTTTTTAAATTGTTTTTTCCTTTTTGTGATGCTTTTTCGTCCTCCTTGTGTTTGTTGTCATGGCGGAGATTTTTTGTTTCTCTTTTTTTGTCTTTATGCGGTTTTTTTGTTAGTTTTTATCGTTTTCTGTTTTGACTATTTTTTTCTTTTTTTTTCTGTCGTCCTTTTTTTCGCATTTTGTAATTTCTCTTTTTATGACAAAAAAGGGATAGTTGGGATTTTTTCGTTGTTTTTTTGGAGTTTTTTTTGTGGCTCGTTTTATGGCTTTATTTCGGATTGTTTTTTCTCCTTTTTTTTTTTCTGAGGCCTTTTTTGTGTTTTGTTCGTGATTTTTTCAATTTATGGCATTTTTTGTGTCTTTTTTGTCGTCTTTTTCTAATTGCTTTTTCGTCTTTGTTTTGGCGTTTTTTTGTCATTTATTTTTGTTTGTTTTTTTTTTTTTGATACTTGTCTTCGCCGTTTTGTGTTGCTTTTTATCGCCTTTATAAGTTGTTTTTTCGTCCTTTTTTTTACTTTATTTATCCTTTTTTAGGAGAGTTTTTTTTCTTGCCCCTTTTTTCAATTTTTGTCGCCATTTTTCGCTGTTTTTTGCGCTTTTTTGATCCTTTTGTCTGTTTTTGTTTGCCCATCTTTTTCGTCACTTTTTTTTTTGGATTGTTTTTCATAGTCATTTTTGTGTTCTTTTGGTCCTTTTTGGCTCCCCTTTTTTTTCGCCTTTGCTCATTTTCTTTGGCTTTTTTTTTGTCCCCTTTTTGCGTGTTTTCAATTTTTGTCCTTTTTTTGGTCTTTTTGTCGTCTTTTTTAATGCTTTTTTCGTCTGTTTTAGTGCTTTTTATTCCTTTTTTGTCATTTATTTTTCTTTTTTTTGTTTTGTAGTTATCATCTTTTTTCAGTTTTTTTCGCCTTTTTAAAGTTTTTTTGACATTATTTGTCATATTTTCGTTCTCCTTTTTTTAATTTTTTTGTAGCTTTTTTCGCCGTTTCGTTTCGTTTTTTTTCTTCGTTTTTTTTTCTGGCGCTTTGTTCTTGGCCCCTTTTTTTTTGGAGAGTTTTTGGTCCCTTTTTCATCGTCATTTTTCCGCTTTTTTGTCCTTTTTTTCATATTTCTGTTGTCGTCTTTTTGTTAGGCGTTTTTTTTGCCTTGTTTTTTTTTGTCTTTTTTTAAGACTTTTTGTGAACTTTTTTTGTCGATTTTTATTTTTATCGTGTTTTTTGTAGCCTTTTTTTACTCCGTTTTTTTTGTGAATGTTTTTAGTTTTCTGATTTTTTCTTTTACCACTTGTAAATTTAGAACCGAAAACTTCGAAACATTGAATAAATAAAGAAAATGAACCGAAACGAAAAATTGAAAATTCGTGAAATTCCAAATCGAA